TATAAGAACCCGATTTATCTCTCAAGTCTCATAGGATCTTCATATTGATATTCCAAAAATGTAAGAATTCTTTCCATTTAATTAGTTGATACAAAGCTTTATCTAGTCCAAACTTTTGATTTCATCCATGAAATCATCTATTTTGGTTAGATCTTCAAGAAACACCAAGAACACACACTAGTGTTTTTGGAGCTTAAACACCCTTTAAAGCTTCTAAAACATAAGTACACTATCCCTAGCTTGTTATATACTAGGAACACTTGATTTACACCTTGAAAACAACAAGAATTCAAGAACAAAAGGTGTTTACGGCCAATAACATCTCCCTTGGCCGTAAACCCTAATTAGATGTGCACTTGTGCCACAAATCCTTCATAAGGCTTGGACTTTAGGTATAGAACACTTCCTTGTGGTTTGTAAGATCTTAAAACACACTTAAGTGCACAATAACATGATTTTATGGCCGTAAACTCATAGGGCCGTAAACCCCTTTGGCCGTAAACTCATGTGAGTCTTCCATGTTGGCTGTAAACACCCTAGTGTGGCCATACAACCCTTATATACAATCCTATGTGGTTTAACACTTCGCTACAAGTGTTTCCTAGTCCCTGAGGTTGTTCCATTTCATGACTAGTTGTTATAAACACTAACTGTATTCATATACGTGTCATTATATGATAAATAGGATCTGTGTGTGCTCAAGCCTTCACTTGACACTTAGCATTCTTTATCGATCTTACATTCGAGTTACTCACTACAGGTGAGTTCATACCCATTAACTTATATTTTAAATAATTTTAAATGCTTTTACCCGGGGGGGGGGGGGGATACAAGTAGAAAACATGTTAGTTATATAATCATTCACATGTGATTTATAACTATGTTTCAAACAAAGGATTTCATATACTTTAAACCGTGTTATCAAACAAACTGCTTTTAAATCGTTTTATAAACTGACATCAAGTCATTTATATTTATTGTTAAACTCTTCAAATGTATTACAAACCTTCTTTTAAACTTATATATTGTCAAAAACATGTCTATATATGTATGGTTATATAAGTAATGTTTAAAGGACTTAGAACTGATAACTCGCTTTATTTCCTTTTCCTTGTTTAGATGTGGACTTAGGGTATCGATTATTTGTCCGAAGGTCGTCTAAATACTAGTTATATATTATGTATATATATGTAGATATAAAATTACTATCAATCAGTTCAGTACCTTTGGGTAGCAAAGGTATACATTCATTCAGACTACATAAATTACTTGTAAACTATAATAGGTATAGTTTAGGATGATACTATCACTATACAAATACTATAACAAAGAATACTATAACAGAAAATACTAGACAGAGAATACTATAACAAAGAATACTAGACAGAGAATACTATAACATATAATACTAGACAGAGAATACTATACATATAATACTATACATAGAATACTATTACTAAATCAAGAATACTATAACAGGGTCAAGATAACTCAATGTGAGATACTATTTCTTGACACAACAACCATTTTGTTGTGTTACGTTTTGTAACCAAAATCTTCTGGAGGGAGAGAGTGAGTTTGTGTATAGATATATACTGGATTGACTATCATACACCTTGTTGTTTGCTACAGTGGGACTTGCAAGTCTACGAGTGTCAAATGTCATTTCTTCCGATGTCTTTCATCGTCGTGTTATAGTCGGTACTAGTATGGGTACAACCTTATCACATTTTACCTTAAATAAACCATTGGTTTTAAGGTAGTTATTACTACGGTTGTTACTATATATAATACTGTAGTACATATACATTTTCCTATTATATTCAAATTGTGATATTCTCACATAAACGGTAATATAAAACTATATTTTGATAATGATAGTCATACTTGGGAAAAACATTCACTTTTACAGAGAAACCAACATATAAAATAGTCGGGTCTTGGTAGAAGACTACTTTTTATATTAGTAGAAAATATAGGATTTTCTAGGAGCTTTCAAACATATACAAACATTTATAATGAACATATTACAAACACTTTCAGTGACCTTATACAAATATTGACACTAAATACTTATGAACTCACTAGCTTAAATGCTGATCTACGCTTTCAAAATAACTTGTATTATCAGGTAACCAGTAGACAGGTACCGATAACCAGGTTTTGAGAAGATGGAGCATGTTCAAGACTCGTATTTTATGTTGATTATTCATTTTTGGTGTCTTACTACTTTTAAAGAACACACTTGTATCAAATTATACTATTAATGCAATGGATGATGTTGTTGCTTGTTTACTACTTTGCATTGTTATGATATTGTACATGACGTCCTCCGCCATCGAACGTTTCCGCTGTTCCGGTTTTGGGGTGTGACAGCTAAGCAAAAGTAGGAGTCCCAACTCCCACCAAAATCTAAGAGTATTACACTTTTTCTTCACGAGCTTTCAAAATTCCAACTAATCGTGACATCCTATAATCCATGAATTATTCATGTGCTTTCACTTTTGAAACAACTGTGCTTTCACTTTTGAAACAGTTGTCTTCCATTTGGGGCGAATTCCTTGTAGAAAAGGTCACATTCTTCTTTATTTCTTGACGCTTCAAAGTGTACTTCACTAATCGGATTAACAAGTAATTATATATTTAAAACATTTGATCTATACTTTCACCATACTTTTGTTTGAACGATCCAGACTCCGCATGCAAAGAAGTTTGAAGAAAATCAAGTTATTCATCGCTACCAGAATACAATTCTTTTAATTATTCCCATATTTTGAAAACAGTTTTACAATAACCCACTAATCAAAATGTACTTGGAGCAGAACCAGAACGAAATTCTATTTTTGTTTTCAAATCATATCCAAATTTTTCTTCACATCAAGAATGGTATTTAAATATTTATCAAGAAGTGCTTTGTACTCCGCAGTGGATGTAACTAAAGTCTTCGTCTTTGAGAGCAAATGTGGACTAACACTCATTTATCTCCAAACATGAGAACCAATTTTATTAATACCAATAAAATAATCCTCCATATGAAGTACCCAAATTTCATAATCGTTTGAAAAGGGTATAAACTCTGCTGTTAGAACCAATGCTGCTAACTAAATTAGATACGACGATGTGAGGATAACAATTAATATGGACGAAGGACTTGATGATAAAAATTGAATTCATCGATTTAAATAGAATTCATGCATTGTTACCAATTATAGGATACATAAACTATTCAATTACTAACAAATCATGAATATCGAGTAAGAATGAATGAAATGTAAGATCAAGATGTAAATATTTCTCTATATATTTCAATGAGAGTAAAAATCTCAGTTACACAAGAATATGTAAAAATGTGTAAAAGACTTACTCTCTCAACTAACTAACATCCCTATTTTATGGTGAACTATAAGGGATTCAGTTAGATTATAACTAATAAGGTTAAAACACATAATCAATGACACATGATACAAACTCTTAAACACAGTCACTTGGAAACCTTAGGTAAATAAATTCCAAAACTAACACATATTCAAAATCAGCATTACAATTAAGACAAAATATTACAGTTCAACATTTCGTAAAAGAGTATTACACAACATATAAAAAATTACAAGACCTAACATCTAGGAAGAGGGATGCGAGTACGGTGGGGTTTATGTCTAAACACATGCAAATCTGGCGACGATGGTAGTGATCCGACAAGTGGTGGTTCGGCGGCGATGGTAGTGTCGCACACCAATGAAGTGAGATAGAGAGATATAGAGTAAATGTAAGGAGTGGGAGATTTTATGGGTAAGATTTTTTTTTTTTAAAATTAAAGTAAGGCCATCCGTAATGCTCTTCACGACCAAGGGGCGTGGAGAGCTTCCAAGTCAGCCACCATGAGAAACCACGAATCGCCCACAATCTAGCTACTCTCCACAACCACAAAGAGAAAGAAAGAAGAGCAGAGAAGAAGAAGTCTGAGAGAGGAGAAGATAATGATTGGGCATTCTCCTTCATCCTGCCCACCACAACCGACAACGAAGACGAAGGATAACAGTGTCTAGGGGTGGTATGCACGAACCACTCTCGTTGCCACATCAACCACGACGCCTCTCGTGGTCGGTATACTAGAAGGCCTAATAAGATAACAATTAAAAAACTAAAAAAGAAATATTTAAAGGAATATTTGACAGTTAGGATACCAAACAAAACCACAAAAAATGTCACTTGTACGTAGAGCTGCACATTGGCGGTCCCATACTAACATTGGGTTGGTCTCAAAACGGTCCAGTCTTTTTGAGTCCGGTCTCGGAACGGTCCGGTCTTTTTTCAGATCGGTCCCGTTCGGTCTTTTTCCAATTCGGTCTTTTTCGGTCCGGTCTTTTTTTGGATCAGACTTTGTTCGGTCTCGCCTCTCAGTCTTTTCGTGTGTCCTTTTCGGTTTGATTTACGAGTTTTTTTGTTTGGTTTCGGTATTTTTCGATTCTTTTATTTTGGTTTCAACTTTTTTCCTTTAACAAATATGAGATTATCACCAAAATGATAAAATAAGATTTATTAAAAATGATAATTTAAATTTAATAAAAGAAAAAATGAAATAAATTAGATAGTTTGTGATTAAAATTTGTATACTTACGACAAAAAATTATAGTCTTTTTTTTTCCAGACCAGTCTTGTTCGGTTTCAGACCGGTCCGGTCTTTTTTAGAACCGGTCTCGAAATGGTCCGGTTTTTTTTGGACCGGTCCTGGACAGTATCAAGCCAGTATTTTCTTTCGATCCGATCTCGTTTTAAACTAGTTCGGCCTCAGTCTTTTTTTGGGTCTGATCCTAGACCCTTTTTTTGTGTAGGTCTACTTGTACGGGCTAAAACAACAAAAAAGTATTAAAAATTGGACTATCTCACATTTTTTTTTGCCAAAAATCATATATTTTTTACATCTACAATTTTTGCAACTTTTATCTATTATGTACATGTACAATATCAAAAAGTCTAACATGTAATGTAAGAAAAGCTAAGGGGGGTTTCGTGGAATTATACCAAAACACCATTCTCTTTCAAGCATTCTTATTTATCGATTTTCTCACGGCAGGAACAAATTGGTTCGCTTCGGAGGTAGTAGATTGAACACACAAACCCTAACAGGAAACCCTAGATCGTCCGGCGAGGAGAAACAGAGATGTCGCATTTTGGTAGAGCGGGCCCTCCAGATATCACAGATACCTATTCGCTTCTCGTGTTTAACATCACTTTCCGTGAGTTGATACTAATCTTGTCTTCTGATTTGTACAAACCCGAGATTCTGGTAAAAAAAGTTATATATCCTAAATTTGTTTTCAGGTACCACTGCTGATGATTTGTTCCCTCTTTTTGATAAATATGGGAAAGTGGTTGATGTTTTCATCCCTAGAGATCGCAGGTACGATTTCCCTCTCAAATTGATTCACAATTTCTCGAGCGATGTTAGGCGGCGTTGGCTGTTGTCTAGTAATTGAATCGTTATGAACGTGTCATTGTTTATAGATTTTGGTTTTTATAAATTTTATACCCCGATCGTGGATACGAATATTGTTCCAGTTCGAATTCTCTGTTAAAAAGGATAAAATGGATAAAGGAGTTATCATCTCTTAGCCTCTTACCTCAAATTCTGGGAAGTTATTATCTAATTTTTACCCAAGGACCTGATTGCTAAAAAGTATGATATATAATATCCACATTGATTTCTTTGCAAGTTCAACACATAAATTTCTCTAGCACTACCTTTTGTGAAGTCTATAGCTAACATTTGAACTTAAACTTAGTTATGTCTAATATCTGTTCAACACCCAGAAAACAGGGATTCTTATGCATCAAAATCCTTGCTGTCAATAACCCGCATGGATCATATGTAGCTAAGAAGTTATTTTAGCTTGAAGATTAAGCAAAACATGCTGTCAAGAACATAAGAAATTAAAACCTACTGCAAACTCCATAACATGGAGGAACTACTTTCTTTCATACAAGTTACATCTCTGCAATCCATATAAATATTTATCGAATGGCTATCCAAAGTCAAATAGATCTTCTTTTAAGCTACAAATTTGTAAATTCAAAAGTATTCATCTGTCATCTCTATATTTGCTCAAAACAGATAAAGATGATAGATTTAACCTAAAATTATATATATTTTTTAAACGAGTAATTATTGTGGTGATTAAAGGACTGGAGATTCTCGTGGGTTTGCCTTTGTTCGATACAAATATGCAGATGAAGCACAAAAGGCAGTTGAAAAGCTTGATGGTGAGTATTTGATCTTTCATTTTCTTGTAATGTATTTCCTTTTATGGATTGAAATAAATGCACTTGTGGCAATCCTTTCAGGAAGAGTTGTTGATGGAAGAGAGATGATGGTTCAATTCGCCAAATATGGGCCTAATGCTGAAAAAATGTGAGTCACATTCACATATAAAAATATAACATATTTCCAAATTCCAAGAATCAGAGTTGAAAAAGTATATGGTTGTTTTTCTTCTTGTTTTAGTCACAAGGGAAGGATACTTGAACCAGTAGAAAAGCTGAAGGGTGGATCAAGGAGCCGAAGTCCAAGACCAAGGTATGATGAGGATGTAATTTTGACCATTTTGCCCTTGTATTGGAGTTGATGTTTACTGAATGTAGTTCCAGGTATAGAGATGAATACAGGGGCTACAGGAGGAGAAGTCGCAGCAGAAGCAGGGACAGGGACAGATATTATGGCAGGGACAGAGATCGTTACAGAAGTAGGAGTAGGAGCCCTGATTATCATAGAAGACACAGGAGGGGTAGATATGATGATGATGATTATGATGATGATAGAAGCCCAAGTAGGTCTCCTGTAAGGTAAAAAGACCTAAATGCCCTTATCATTGAAAATAGCAGCCCTAAAAAGCTGTCCGTTTAAAGTTGATGTTTTGTTAAGAACCTCATGGACTATTCACTATGATTCTATATGTGTTTGTTACTTACATAGAAGTAGAGAGTACTACTCTTGAAAAGACTAGAATGCCCTTATCCATAGACTGATGGATTACACAGAAGCAGGTCTACTCCTCCACGTAGGACACCTTCTAGAAGCAGAAGCCCAGTAGGTGGAGGAAATGAGAAAGCATCACCACCCCATGCCCATGGTAGAGCTGATTCCAGAAGCCCTTTGCAGCGTTCTGATTCCGATGTAAGTTTTTTTTTTTTTACTTGTGGAATCATTGATTCCGGATGTTGCTATTTTTTTAACTGATTACTTTTTATCTTACTTTTGACAGGAATATCGACTGAAATAAGGTTTGAAAGATGGGTTTTTGAAGTAGTTTGCTGGTTGGTGCATCGTATTGTTAAGGTTAATATTTTTTCATCCCATGCATTTGCTGAGTATGTATGTTTAGAACTGATTTCGGTTTGCTTTTGTGTTGCTTTTGGATTTGGATGTTTATGAATTGGTGTTTGAAAGATGTTTATGGGTGTGTAGAAATTTGGGAACTGAATGTTTTTTTTTTTTGATGTGGTATCTGGAAGTGTTGATGTTGATGTTGCTGTGGGGGAGAGATGAGATTGTTGATGCTGTTGGTGTCTTTTTGTTACCTGAATTCAGCTTATGAGAGTGGTAAGAGAAGCAAAAAGTAGGAAATCTGATTTTATAGATATGGATATTAATATATTATGAATGAAAATGAAAAGACTTGCTGCTGACTTGAGATATTTTATTTGGGTAAAAAAAAGGAGTTTTAGTTGGTTGCTGAGAATGAGATGATCATGATCATGATACATTAGTTGATGATGATGATGATGATGATGATGATAGCTATGAGATGTTGTCATCCTTTGGTAGCTGTGTAGCAGAGCCTAATAATCAATCTCATTATTCTTCAAGGTTAGAAGTCCATGATTTGATATATGATAATGATATGCTTCTCCTTTTTTAAAAAAAAGTCTTTCTACATATGCATGTATCTTTAAGGAAAATTGCAGTAAATAGCAGGTTTTACAGGTTACAACATGGATTTTCAAAGAAGAGTAACCTGTAAACCTTGTTGTAGAAAGTCATAAGACATTTAGAACAGCATTATTAATTACTTATTCTTTCAGACATTAATATGACAAAAATGACTTATCAAGTACATACAAAAATAGTTGGTTGCCAATTCATGATACATTAATCCCAAATAGCAAAATGAATTGGTAATTTTTGTGCCAGTGTTGAAACTAATATATCATATCTTTTGAGTTTGTACAACTTTTGTTGATTTGAATTGAGGCAACAAGAAGCAATTTGCTTTTCATGTAATGATGAGATTATATGAATTTTTGCATATTGTTTGATCTCTTTTGTTAGTTAAATTGTTTTACTTATTTGTATGTTTGTTCGTTAAATTGTTTTACCATATCAGTGTCAAATATAACAAAATGGTCCATTTTAAGATTTTGTTTTTATGATTTTTTTTAAGAAACCAACTATGCCAAATCTTTTGAACATAGAGTCTATGTTCTCATTTGGAAGAAACCAACTATGCTAAATCTTTTGGACATAGAGTTTATGCTCTCATTTGGATGCCTATCAAATAATTTAAAATCATATATAACAATTAAAGTCTCATTATCTCTAACTTCATCATTGCCTTTGTGAGTATTTAACAAGGATATGCATCTTTCGTTTGTGGTTTCACAAAATGCAACGTGTTTTTTTTTTTCGTCTTCCATTTAGAGCAATAAAATTTCTAGCTTCATAATTTTGATAGAGGTTAGTTCATCATAAGATTTTACCTTTTGAAAATTTCATTTACATTACTACCGAAGCTTCTTTACTTTTACATCTTAGGGAGAAAGAAGTAATCCCCTCCCAACTCGCTTGACCCACATCTATTTTTTTTTTCAATCCACAATATATGAAAATTCTATCTTTTTCAACAAGTTCAATTAAAAAAATACAACACAACTAAGATATAGGTTTTAAAACACATGGTATAAAAGAAAAGCAAAGAGAGAGAGAGAGCGAGAGCGGTAACTTGATTGCTAAATAAGATTTTTATCTTAGTTTTTTAAATATTTTTTAATTGATTGGGTTAAAAAACATAGGGTTTCCATGTGTGCTGAGAAAGATGAAAAAAAGGGTTTTCATGTTGTGTGCTGAGAAAGATGAAAAAAAGAGAGAGAAAAACTGTTGTGGTAGTGGGTTGAGTGAGTTGGGAGGGAATTGATTCCCTCTTTCCTTAGGTTTTCCAAGTTGTATGTAAATTAGCATAATCATTTTTATAGTTTTCTAATGTTCTCTAAATATCTATAATTGAAAATGAAAACTTTATCAGTTTCAACCAAATGTTTTTTTTTCTAAAACTTTCATTGAAAATTAAAAATGAAAATTCAACTTTATTTTCCAAAAATATTTTCTGTAAACAACAAAACAGTTTTCAATAATGAAACACAAAGTTTTTCAATATTAATAATCGAAGGTCTACCAAACACAAAAAATAAACTTTTGTTACAGATCGTTTTTAAAACTTAAAAGATTTATAAAAGTAAAAAATCTGTACGCTGACCGTAGCCGCTTTAACGATTCTTCGAGGTGGTGAGGGAGAGGGACCGTCTTCAGCGATAGGCTAAGCTGCACTTTGGGACTCCGTTGCACATCACCAAGTAGCTCCCTAGATTTGTTAAGATTTATAAAATTAGATCTAATAAATTCTATAAAAAGTAGATCTTATATTTCTTTTATAAAAACTAGAGTTACTGCTTGAATACTAATTATAATTGCGCATTCAACCAACACAAATTAAATAACCAAATTATACAACAAGCTACTAAGATTTTAAGATTTAAACAACTACGCAAATATAAATGTATGTGTAGGGAAAGAAAATGAAAACAAGGATGCATAGTGGTTGGTAACTACGCCTAGAGCTTAATCCAGATGAATGCAATCTATCAAACTCACACACTCTAGCATTTACAAAGGAAATGTAACATTTAACCCTCAAATGTATATTACACTTTAAAGCAAATAAATAGACATAAATTGAAGCTTTTGTGTGAGGAAATATATACAATTTGGTGTTCTTTGTTGATTTGAGTATGAAAATGAGAGCAAAGTAGTTAGAAATTCATCAAAAGATTTTGGAAAATGAATGCAAAGCATTATGGCCTATGTACTTTTGCCAACATGGTGAACTTTTAAAAGGCTGAAACACGTGGCATTTATTGATTGAATTTCTTAAAGGAATTCTAATATATAATGTATAAAGAACGTTCTTTTATCTATTATTAGACTTGTAATTTTGTAAAATAATATAAGGTAACCAAACAATCTTATTTTTGAGATTTTTTTTCCGGAGATCCATAATATATAATGTATTAAGAACGTTTTTTAATTGGAGTTTTCACCCCGTAAAGTTTATAAAGCAAGCATTTTTGTAAATTAACATGACGCGTGTTAACAAAAAAATTATTATTTCTTTTTATCAAAAATTCTTTTACCAAATATCATAACTTAGGCTGTCCGGTATGGGATAGATCCCCACGCGTGAAGTCCGACATGGCACCTCAATCCACACGTCAACACCGCCCACAAGGAGCGTAGGTGTGTTGTAACTTGACCGGCTCTACGCTTGAAGACGACCAATCACCGATTTTCTTTCCAAATGATCAAAAATAAAACCATTGCATGTATATGTTTGTGTTAAAAAATATATATTTTTTTAAAATTATTTTTCAAATTTAAATCATACATCCTAACTATAAATACCAACAATTTTATACACATTTCACATTACAAACAAATCGGACGTACGATGCAGTAAATGGAAAGCAAACAAATCGGACGTACGATATTAGCGCGCTAAAACTAGTAACACGCAAATGGGGCAAAGTTTTTGGAATCGTGTTTTAGATCATTTTAGCGCTATTAGAAAAGCAAACAAATTGGACGTACGACGTAGTAAATGGAAAGTGGCGCGACCTAAGAGCAACTTGCACCAAATTTAATGTCATATTTGACAATCTAAAAAATACGCATAAAAGTGGTAGTAACGATTTCAATATTTTATCAACTGTAAGCTATCAATACAAGCTTACCAACGGCGGTAAAGTATTTGACCATCAAAAAGTGTGAGACGTTTGTCATGAGGGTCCAAAATGAGTCATTAATCGGATACGACACATTCAGAATTGACCACCAACTCCAACAAAAGGCCAAGTACTTCTGAGTCGGATGTGGATTTTGGCCTAGACCTTAATGATAACTTCGACGGCACCAAGATAGAGGGTCCACCCGAAATCAAACTTCGTCGACCACCGTGAAGGGACAAAGAGAAACAAGCGACGTCTTCATCCGGAAAAGCGAGTAGCGAAGACATACTTTCGGGAAAAATAGACAAAATCTCTAATTTTTCTTGAAAAAAAATAAAAAATGGAGAAAACTCGTCGCCAAAAAAGAGCACTTACCGATCTTCAAATTATACACACAAAGTCCAAACCGGATCTCGATCCGGAAAATCTAGCAACATTTTTAAAAATTCAACAAGACTGCGAAAAATATGACAATTAGGTTCTACGATTTTTAATATTTATGTTTTATTTTCAATGTTTTTTTAGTAAGTTAGGTTTAAATTTCTATGTTTTTATGTTTTTTTTAGTAATTTAGGTTTTAAATTTCTATGTTTTTTAAGTAATGTAACGAGTTTTTAAGTAATGTAAAATATTTATTTATGATTAATAATTATGTTTTTTTTATTTAATTTAGTATCAAAAAAATAAAAATAAAAAATATAAAGATAAATAATATGGAATGATGATCATTTTTCAAGGATAGTAGTGTGTTAGTAAACATGTAAAGAAGATAACATGACACAAACACTTTTCTAATAGGGATGTAATGACCATACCTCTTAGCCTTATGGTGGAAGGAGTGAATCATTCCCAACTCATTCAACCTATTTGTCATATTAGTTTTTTCTCGCTCATATCTCTTTCATCATTCCTAACTCATAACACATGCAAATTATGTATTTTCCAAGACGCTTAACCCATTCAATTAAATACATACAAAACAACGTATGGTACAAGTAAACAAGCACAATGTATAAGAGAAAAGCAGTGGATTGAACAACCCGTTAGATTCTTTGTTTGCGGGACCGATGCTCTCGCTGAAACATGTCACCGACGATACCGCCAACCCAAATGTCTTATCCCGCCACAACTCCATGCACCCTTAAGGTATATAACAAGTCTTTACAAAATCTTTGGATTTGGAGAGTAAAAATCTTCACCTTTTTAGCAAATCTTTACAAAATCTTTGGATTTGGAGAGTAAAATTCTTCACCTTTAGCTTTTACAAAAAACTAAACATGTTTGTAAAATACAAAAAATGGTTTTAAATCTTTCAATATAAATTGATATTTTAATATATTTGAAAAACTATATTTTACTTTCAAAATTTCCACTTAAATATTTCATCAATATTTAGTAAACTATTAGAATACTATATTTTTTATTGGGATAATGACTTATGAGGGTAACTACCTCTTATCCGTGTTCACATATTGACAATTTCTTCTTTTTTGTACATAATAAAACAATTAACTTGTTTTAACTGTTTAAATTATACAAATATTACCGGCTAATATATGTTTTAACCGGTAACTCAAAGGGAAAATGACTACGGAGGGTAACTACCTCTTATCTGTGTTCACATATTGACAACTTATTTTTTGTACATAAGAAAGAAACTAACTTGTTTTAACTGTGTAACATCCCAAAAATCATGATCGAAAATTTCGTTTTTAATTTAATACTAAAACCATAATTGTCAAACCATTAATTTAATACTCCAACATCGGACATCGCCCGACATCAGGCCCCGCCTGGCATTGAGCCCCGTTCGGTATACAAATTTGTCTCTTTTAGGCCCCGCCCGCTAAACACATACAATCATCTAACATGCTAACACATAAAGAAACATACTCTACTGTATCCCTATCCTAAGAAACATACTTTACTAATAATGAGATACAAAACTTCATCCGTACTCAGCTAGTTCCAGCCAGGACTTCAACAGTGCAAGACGAGTCTCCTCACTGTGTGAATGGGTCTAAGGCCATAATGCCAGCCCATGTAGTATATGAGTAGGAAGACTCGGGGGTTAGCCATAGGCATTGTTTGCTAGTATGTTATTCCAGACCAAGGTCTGATGTCGGGCAGGTGCCTGAGGAATGTTTTCATGTCAGAGTATACTTGTTGTATGTGTGATACTTGTATATGCCTGGTAAAGAGGTGAGTATGGGCGAGCTCCCGTATCTCATCACTAGCTGAGTACGAACGATGTTCTGTATCTCATTATTACCAGAGTATGTTTCTTGGGACAGGGATACAATAGAGTATGTTTCTTTATGTGTTAGCATGTT